GCGTTATTTCGAAGCAAAGGATACACCCCAATCACTGATGGTAAATATCAAGGTGATTTATTAATATTAGTATATGGATGTGCGTTATTTCGCGTAAATACGGTAAATTTTTTAACAAGAACACCTCCAAAAATTAGCCAATCAGATTTTGAGATCAGGTGTACCGTGAAAATCAATAAACGAAAAACCTTGACATTAGATTAGCGTTAGGGCGAGGTTAGAGCATATCTTATACCAAAATTTGGCGAGAAATGTTTTTGTTAGAATGCAAAAGGTGGTTTCCTATGTAGATTTTCTAGTTATATTTGAATTTTCCTGACCGTGCTACGTTACACCCGATCTTGACATCTGATTCGATGCGCAGAATTTTTGGAGGTGGCGATTTTATTCCGGTCGACAATCGTTGATTCCATTTGTAATGTCACAACAAAGTTTCTTTCCATTTGTAATGTCACAACAAACTCTCTTTCCATTTTTATTAAATTCACAATTTCCACTAGCACGCGCAAAACGATTATGACAAGTCTCTCCGGTTTTTTGTGTATCACTTGACTGACATGTATTTGCATTTTCACCGTACTTACGACCAATTCCGGAAAGGCACCTATTATTATTATCATCACATTCCATTCCGTTATCTCGTGAATCGACACAAATTGATTTCAAATCATTATCAATACCACACCTTAAACATGCCTTGCACACAAGACCATCAGAACAAGCAGGACAAGCCTCCTCAAATCCTCGTGTATCAGTTGTTTGGCATTTAAATGTATCTTCACCACGAAAACGACAATCAAAAGGACAAGCACAATCGTCGTCTACATTACATTTTGCACCATGTCCTCCTTTCTCTTCTTTCTCATTTTGTCTTCTTTCATGGTTGACGTTTACTGTATCGACGAGGATGAAGAGGAGTACCCCAAGAAGCACGCTTTCTCATGATGATTTGTTTTATTAATGAGTATTGATGCGTAATAGTTATCTTGGTTTATATCTTTATTAATGAGTATTGATATGTAATATTTATTTGTGTTTATACTTTTTATTAAGGATCAAAGTTTATATAATGATAAGTAGGTCCAGTCCAGTTCCAAAATAGTCCATTTAAAATTACATTATACCTGATTTGATTTATTCTGAAATCGGTTTTTTGTAGGGCTAATGCAACTAGTGTAGAGATGGGCAAGGTAATAATGTAATAATTATTTTTTTTTTTTTATCTACAGGCAAGAACATCCAAATACAGAAATAATTCCAATATAGATACACAATATTGTCAACTACAAAATTAAATTTCCGGCGCGCTCCCTTCCACTCCAGTCCAATAAGACGTACTCCTAACCAATCCTTACCTTGAATGATCAAAAATATATAAACGCACCTAGCTTTAGCCTGTCCGATTGTTACAAAATTGAAAATAAGTTTTTTATGTGCTTACAATACTTTTTTAAAAAACCCGGGAAGCTTAACTTTCTATAAAACGTGAGAAAATATAACAGAAGATATTTTCACTTCGCCCTATAACATATTCAT